CAGCGCGCAGACACCGCTGGGTCGGCAGGGCTCGTCGGGTTGCGCGGCACTTGCGGCGCAGACGGAGCGGCAAGGCGCGGGGGTGGCCCGGCGGGGTCCTCGCGGGTCCTCGGCGGGCCCGGGGGACGGCCCTCTTTGTGGCTGCAGTTGGCAAGATGGCGCCAGTGGGGGTAGAGAAAAAGCTGCTGCTGGGCCCCAATGGGCCCGCGGTGGCTGCCGCCGGCGAGCTGACCAGTGAAGAGGAGGAGGGCCAGAGCCTGTGGTGAGGCCGAGGGCCCAGCCGGGGAGGGGCGGGCCGGGCCGGGCCGGCCCAGGGCGGGCCGAGGGTGACCGCCTTGCCATTGTTGCCGCAGGTCCTCGATCTTGAGCGAAGTGTCCACCCGCGCCAGGTCCAAGCTGCCGTCCGGCAAGAACATCCTGGTCTTCGGTGAGCGGCGGGCGCGCCCTGGGGGCCTGGGGTGGGCGAGGCGGCGCCCCTCCCACAGGTCCCAGCCTTGCGCTTCTCCCCTGCCGCGCGCCGCCTGTCCCCTGCCGGCCCGGGTTGGGGGCATGCCGGGCCTTGGCAGGGCCGCCGGAGAGTCGCCAAGCCCACCCCACCCCGTCTCACGGTGGGTTGCTTCCCTCTTTGGAGAGCCCAGTGGTGCTGCCTGGGGTTGGCACATCCCTTCAGTCACCTGGGCGCGACATCAGCCTTGACTCCCTGCGCCCCTGGCGTTCTTCTTTCACCAAGTTCACCCTGTGGAGAAAGGAGGGAGTAGATGAGAAGGCTGGGTGAAGACAGGTAAAGGAGATGACCTGGGCTCGGAGCTTGACCACGAAACTTTCCTCGGTCTTCTAGAGCAGTACTCAGATGTTTTCAGAACTCTTCAAAGGACAGCAGGCCTGGGAGTCAGCACCGAGGACTTTTATTATTTCCGCCCTCACTGCTGAATTTCATGAGTCAGGTCCCTTAGCCTCTGTGGCCTCAGTTTCCTCGTACAAAGGAGGAGCTCCGGGTGTATTCATACAGTAGACCCATTTGTGGAATAGGACCTGTGGGCTGGGCACTGGGACAGCACAGACAGCCCTGAGACACTAACAGCAGTGTCATTCGAGCAGATACATATGTGTTGGTGATTGCACCATGTTGGGCATGGGCAGACTGTTGTGGGAGCATCACATTGCTTGCTGCTGTGAAAGGGAAATTTGGAGTTGGGTCTTTTGAAGAGTGTGAGTAGGCAGGAGCACCAAGCTGATCAGTGTGCTGTTTGGAAACTGTTAGGAGCCTCTTGTGGTAGATGCCCACTAAGGGACCTTGAGGGCAGATTGAAAGCCTGACGAGTTAATGGTCTTTCCTGAAGGCTCCAGATTTTCACAGGCCTTTTACCTTATCTCCATCACCAGGCCTTAGGGGACTCAGTACTTTGGTGGTTTTCCTACTGTTTGTGAAGGGACCAGATGGTCTTCACATTGGTGGTAGGTTATAGTGGACCGTAGAGATCTTCAAAAAACGAGGAGTCAGGATCGCTAGATCTGTGTTTTAGGAAGGTAACTTCGGCTGCAGAGTGACAGGTGGCACAGAATGAACTGAAGTCAGGCTTACAAGTACTTGCCATGGTCCATATGAACTGTGGAGAGCCTTATGGATGGACGGGGGATCCTTGTGGTTTACCCTTTACCTTTCATGAGTGTAATTCTATATTATTAAATCTCATGACTGTCTAGTGACCTTTATTGATGGTGGTTCTACTTGATGTTTAGAGGGGTTTCTTTTGGGAGGTGTTATTCATTGGTCAGAGGGAGGTAAGGAAGCACTTAGTAATTACAGAGATTGTGCTTTAGAGTTTTGCTTAGGTCTGTAATTATTTTCTTTAGTTTCCCAACTTTCAGAATGCTTATGAAGGAGATGTACTGAAATCAAATATAAATAATAATGTCTGTTCTTCATGATTGTGAGGAAAAATCAGGTTTTTAAATTCAGAGTGTCTAGACTTTGAGGTTAATTCTGTTGTGAAAATTTCTTTCATTTCTTGTGATAAAAGTTTTATTTTGTAAGAAACTAGCCCCGCCTTTTACTTCTCCAAATACATATGTTACATGTTACAGGTAGGACCCGTTGGCTTGCCTATCTCCTTCCTTTGTGAAGTAAGGAAAACTGCAGTAGGATGTTGTTTTACATGTTTGAAAATGCAGTATTTACCCTGTCCCCTCTCCAGTGACTCTAGTGCCAAGTCTGCTTTGTTTGTGAAAGCAGATGAGATCTCAGTAGTGGCTTTGCATGAGATTCTTAGTTGTTCCTTGTTATGTGAATGTCATGACTTGCCATCTTTGTCTTTGTCTTCTTGGAAATATCATTTGTAGGTGAGGATGGTTCTGGTAAAACAACGCTCATGACTAAACTACAGGGAGCAGAGCATGGCAAAAAAGGAAGAGGCCTAGAGTATCTTTACCTCAGCGTCCATGATGAGGACCGAGATGGTAAGTGAAGCATTGATCCATGGTAAAGGACATACGCAGGACTCTGCCTCCTACAACATGTCTAGGCATTCTCAGCTTTCTCTTTGGCTCATAGAGAATTATTCAAGAATAGATGACGTGGGTCATTTGTGAGATTTTATTCACTTTCTTGTACAGAGCATGTTAGCAAAAACGAGGAATGGGACTATTAGGTGCTTGTGTCTACATGTAAAGGAAATCCTTAAAGTAAAGTTTGACATGCACATAAAGGAAGCAGGAAAGATTTTTTTAAAGCTTTGGAGTTTTCTATGACAGAAACATTAAATGCTTAGCAGACTGATATAGCACCGCTGTTACTCTGCCCCCTTCTACTGGAGAATCTTAAAGTTCATATACATTCATTGATATTTTTTGGAGTCTTTTTGTGACTGTTTAGAAATGCAAAATGCTGGAGGTGGAAGGAATAGAGGTTCAGAGGTAATAATGTTCTCCTTTAATTCCTTGAAATGTGGATAGTAGCTGGGCATGGTGGTCTATGCCTGTAATCCCAGCACTCTGAAAGGGTGAGGTGGAAGGATCATTAAGTTTGAGCCCAGTCTGGGCAGCTTAGCGAGACCCTGTCTCAAAATAAAAAATAAAAAAGATCTGGGGATGTAGCTCCATGGAAGGTTCTGGGTTCAATCCCAGTACTGCAAGCAAACAAACAAAAATGTGGATGGTAATAGTTTCTATCTGCACAGTAGTTAGGGTGATTAAAGGCACATGGTAAACATTTGTACAAAGATTAGTTATTATTTGGAAACTTCGTTCTTATAAATAGGAGAAGTATGAAGTAGCGATTTTTGCTTACAATTACTCTGTAATACAGTCTTTAAAATCTTAGGATTAAAGTTAGATTTTTTTTTAAATGGCTATAAAATTATAGGTACCTAGGGGAATTTTGTTTTGTACAGAAGTTATGATGGTAGCCTAAAGGTGAAATGTATTAATTAAATTGTGTTCATTGTATTTGCCTTTACCCATTTAAACAGTAAGACTCTTGATGTAAGGGGAGCCAGTCCTCCCACTTCTGGTTTCCCATTTGCTTGTTGCTAAACAGAGGAAGCTGAACCAAGGTCCTTTCTAGTACTGTAATTCTCCTGTCTCCAAGAGCTGTTTAGTAGAGAGTGTGAGTCAAAGTCTCTTGTTGAAGCTTGGAAATCTACATTGTGTGAATGCTAATTTAGTGGTCATTTTAGAACCCCTGGGATTTTTTTTTTTTTGTCTGTTCCCTTCCCCTGACTTCTTTGTCGTACTGAACATTCCCTGGAGGACTTGAAAGGAAGACAGGAGGTGGACCTGGTGCCAAGGTTATGTCAGAAGGACAGGAATCAGGTGTCTCTTTAGGCCCATCAGAGTCCATGGTTATAGGGCTGGAACTCAGGGGCCACTGAGTCAGCCTAGAGGACATTGCATGTCTGTATCTTTTGCTTCCTTATCTTTGTAGGGCACCATGGTTATTGTGGAAAGAACTTGGGCTTTGGAGCCCGGTGGATCTGGTTCAAGATGCTACTCCTGTAGTCAGCAGTTGTGTAGCCTCAGGTAACTAATTTAACCACCTACACTTGAGATTTCTCATGTGTAGAATGGATGATAGTGCCTATTTTTCAGGTTGATAGAATAAGAGAGTATGTGTAGATTGTAATGGAATGCTGGAGATGTGATAGCCCTAGTACCATTTTGTCTTGTTTCTTTTTAGTTTTTGTCTTTGTTTTGATTTTGAGACAGATTCTCACTGTGTAGCCCCAGGTGACCTCAAACTAGTGATCCTCCTGCCTCAGCCTTCTGAGTGCCATTATGTCCAGCAGTCTTGCTTCTTTTGAAAGAACAGAACAATGTGTGTGCTCTGAATCTGTACCCTCATCTATTTCAAGGCAGCAGAAGCATGTTTCAGGCCAGAGTGTAACATTAGTTGTATTTTACTTGCCTTTGAGTTATAAAGTGTATAGTAACTTCTATTTTTCATTCCTTTAAGATTACCTTAAAAACTTTGGTTTCTGCATTTATATGATAATTTTTAGGTTACCTACTTGTGAGTACTTGTTTGATGGAAAAGTTGCCCTTACCTGTGGTTAATTATATATCTTTAAGTCCTAGGCTTCTTTTATTGTGTGGCGTGACCGGGTTATAAATACACATTTCACAGGCAATCACCCATGTAGGAAGAGTCTGACTTGTACCTCTGCCTTCAGGGTTGGGGATCTAACACTTTGTGGGATGTGTATGGTCTCCAAGCATGTGGACAAGTTATATGTGATGGGCAATGGTAAGGGAGGCTGGAAAAAGGAACCATGCCTGCTGATGGGTAGGCATTCAAGCCCATAGATTTCAGGTACAGAGCACTGTTTTTGTTTTTGTTTTATTTTTTGATTCTGATAATTGAAACCAGGGCCTTGGGCATGCTAGCACTGACACCTTAGTGTCCAGAATAGTATTTTTTAAGGCATTCACAGAAACCCAAACTGAAACCACTATTTAAAGTACATTAAGAATTTGAAATATAAGCTAGGCATGATGGCACACACCTGTAATCCCAGCACTTGGGAAGCTGAGGCAGGAGGATCACTTTTGAGGCCAGATGGGCTACTATATAGTAGGTTTGAGGTGAGCCTGAACTACATAGAGAGACTCTGTTTCAGAAAAAAAAAAAAAAAAAGAAAAAAAAAAGAGTATTTGAAAATTTAGCTAGATTTAGATAGCATATACTATATACTGTTGAAATAAAGTTAGGAATATGTATTTTTATAGCATATTAATGAATTGATTATATAAAAAAGGCAGCTATAGGTTTTAAAAGTATGTGTTTGACTTTATTAAAAAAGGTAATAAAATATTTCAGGAAGTGTCAAGGTTCTTTTTTAAAAAAATAGTTCTTAAGAAAAATTTCTAAAACTGTATTATCAGTTGGTAGGATTGACTTATACAGTTTGTTCATCCAGTTATAATTTTAGAACCATATACTTGATAAAATGTCAGCACTTAACACATTTTTTATATATTTATCCTAACATGTTATTGTAGAAAATAAAATGTGTAAAATAGACAACTGTTATGACACATATACATAGCACCTGCCTTGAGCAATTAACTAGCTTTTGATTAATTTTATTTCAACTATATCTCATCTTCTTCACTCCATGTGGGATTTTTTCAGACATTATATCATCTGTGAATACTTCCATAAAGTATGTCTAAAGGATAACAATTTTTAGAAAATAGAACAATGTTATTATATAACGAGAACTGTAATCCTTAATATCATCAGGTATCCAGCAATTCGTATCTCAATGTAATGATTTTACCTTGGCATTTAAACCCAAAGGTCTGTTTCTTTGGTACCCTTCTGGTATGTGCCCTGCTTACTGTGGCTAACACAAGAAGGGTTTGTTTAACCACAGGCTGTTAGGAATTGCTACCCATCTCACAGGTTGCTGCTATCTTAGGACAGTGAATTGTTTAGACTGTGGCACAGCGGGCCTGTGAATATCAGCATCTCTAAGTTCGTATTGAGAAGTAATTACCTTTAGCCTACTCCTTAGACATTGCTGAAATTTTTCTTCACTTGTAGATACTTGCTATGTATCAAGGCTGTCCTTCAGCTTGCTGTGTAGCCCAGGCTGGCCTCAAGCTCATGGTGATCCTCCTGCCTCAGCCTCCTGAGGGCTGGGATTACAGGTGTATGCCATGATGCCTGGTGTGGTAGATACTTGGTTTAAACATTTTAAAACCTAGACAATTCCTGAGGCATTAGGACCAAGAATTGCTGTTCCTTGAACGTTTGGACCTTTTTCAGTTAGGATTTCTGTTTGCATTCTGTGTGGAATTCATCTTTGTAAGGCTCCTTTTCTGATAGCTGTGCTGATGATCACTGTCCAGTCGTAATTTAACTTCATTTCTTAGATCATACACGCTGCAATGTGTGGATTCTGGATGGAGACCTCTACCACAAAGGCCTGCTGAAGTTTGCAGTTTCTGCCGAATCCTTGCCAGAGACCGTGGTCATTTTTGTTGCAGACATGTCTAGGCCTTGGACTATAATGGAATCTCTACAGAAGTGGGCAAGTGTTTTACGTGAGCACATTGATAAAATGAAAATTCCACCAGAAGAAATGAGAGAGCTAGAACGGAAGTGTAAGTGCAATTTTTTTAATTGGAAAAATTATCAGACATTGAATAGTCAAACCATCTTCCCTTTTAGTGAAGAGACTTCACTTGGAGAAAGTTGTGTTTTGTTTTGTACCATTAACTTCATACTTGCTCTTACAAATGTAGCTATCATGAATACTTCGAAAAAGTGTTCAGAACAGTCAGCGATGGATCAATAGTCCTTATTGTCTTTGTTCTGTTTTAATAGAGTTCTTTCCTTCTAAAATGTGATCTGTTCTCTGGTTTTCCAGGATTTTCTGCCATTCTGTCTGCTGAGTTAGCATCAGGGTGTCGGGGTTTGTTCTGGTTTCTACAGACTGAATCCTGGCTCTAGGACTCTGAAGGTTCTCTCTATCCTCTTGTTGGTAGGTTTAGTGGGAGTTGTTAAAAAGGTAAATCTTTTGGAATCCAACAAATACGACTTTTTATAGGAAAAGGAAGGCTATTTTTGGGTGTCATTAAAGTGAAAAGCTATTTTAAGACTAAGGATATCTAAGTTTTTTAGAGAACAAAGAACTTTCATATTAAAGGAAGTTTGTGTCCCCCCCACCCCCAGTGTGGTTCAGAAGCTTGTTTTTCCTTTCCCTTGCTTCTGTGCAGTTACATCAGCTTCTGTCTCCTTGCCAGAGAAATGGGAGGGGCCGGGGCTGGAGCTGTGGTAGCAGCAGCCGCCGTCTTGGGCAGGACAGGCTTGGCCTAGCCTGGCTTAGTTCCACAGGATGACATCATTCCTTTTAGTGAATTGATGAGGGTTGTAAGACTTGACACGAGATCTTCACACTTACTGGCAGAAGGGTTCAGAAATTTTGATGTGCTTTTCAAATTATGTTTAATGTTCTATGTCTACCTGTCCCATACTTCATCTTGCCCCTGTCCTACATTAGTTAAAACAGAGATTTGAACATCTTATTTGATTTGCTGCCAGTGTGATACGTGGATCACCCACATGTGTGCTGTACTGATTGTTATGCAGCTCAGCTCATCTGTCTTCAACCACTGACCTTTCTAGATAATGGCTCTTTTTCCTCTGAAATAGAGACCCTAATGATAACTTGTCAGAATAGTTCTGAGGCTGAATAGCTGTTTTTTGTCCATTGCACATACAGCTTCTTATCCACACTAGCAAATTAATGCACTAGAGATTTCAGTTCTCTAACCTGTTTTCTTAGAGTGATAACATTGTAAAGATTTGTTAAAACAGAAAAAAGAGAGGCCAGGGATTGCTGGCCGGACAGGGAAAATATCTGTTCAGTACAAGGTCCTGTTCTAGGCCCTGAAAAACAACAGACAAGCTCTATTCCTAGGGAGCTGAAGGCATGAGACACTGAATTTATTTTATGCTCTTAGTCATTGATGTCTGTTGCTTAAGATTAGATTCGTTTGCATATGGCACAAAACTCGAGATAATGATGCCCTGAATAAGAATGAGATTTCTCTCTCCTGAAAATGAGATCTAGAAGTAGGTAGTTCAGAACTGGAGAGCCAAGGGCTCAAGGACCCTGATGTTTTGTGCTTACTGCTTTGTCATTTCTAGGGTGTGGTTCTCTTCCTCCTAACAAGTAGAGCTCTGCCTTTCACATCTATGTTCCAGGGAGCAGAGAAGAGGAAGGAAGAGTTGGAGGGTGCATGTCTGTCATCACTAAAGGAGGCTGGGAAATGCAGTTTTTATTCTGTGTGGCTATGTATTGTGGACTTCAGAGTTCTGTTCAGTTAGGAGGAGGAGGAGGAGAGAGGACCCTGGAAGGCAGCTAGCAATTGCTGGACGCATGTGTGTATCTCCTGACTCCGGTTAACCTTCCAAGGCCCTTGCTTCCACCATCCCTTGTCTGAGATGTTTGGAATGGTAGCCATGCCTTTGTGCTGCATATTGAAGGAGTACCTTTGTTAGTGCTGGTTTTAGATGACGTTTTAATAAAGTAGTTGGCTATACTCATGCTCAGGGGACTCTGTTGCCCAGATTAATTGGACTTAACTATTGTACTGAATGAGTGAAGGGCTCTTATCCAACCAAGCTTCTAATCCAACTACTCTCTCAGTCTGCCAGTTTTGGAAACCTGCTCTGTGGCCAGCCAGTCTCTTTCAGGGTTAGGGTTCCCAGTGGTCCAAGATCTGTGGCAGCTGTTTCACAGTCAGAACCATCTGAGCCAGAGGAAGAGCACTCCTAGGAGCTAACAGAAAATGGTGCTTGGGTGTAGGTTAGTCTTTCTTGCTTATGTGGAGCTCTGGGGTCTTCTCACAGCTAGATCCAGTGGGTGGTCAGTAAAGTAGGAGGGAAAGATGCTGCTGCAGCAGCAGCAAAGGTATTTTGTGATCTCTTTCTTATGCCCACTCCCCTCTGGTCCTAAAAGGGAGGCCCAAGTGGGCTGGTGGCCCCTGCTGTAAAATACTGGCCATCTCCTTTCTTGAGAGAAATTGTTAACGTTACACTATGTGTATCCTCTAAGGAAAATGTACATTTTTACTATTAGAATTACAGTCTTAAATTTTTTTTTTTTTTATATTTTCAACAGATAAGTGAATTTTTAAAGCAGTTTCAACATTTTTTTTTCTTTATTTTACTTTAATAGTATGAGTGTGAGTGCCTGCCTGGCAAGTACAAGGTCCTGAGTTTGATTCCCAGTACCCGCCCCCCCCCCAAATATTGTGTGGGTGTAGTGTTTGCGTTCCTTGTGGGAAATTGGTACATGTACATAGCGCATCTTAATTCCTTTTTTCTTCCCATTTCCCTTCCCTTCCTGCCCTCCCCCTCGATCTCAATCCCCTTCCATTTTGAGAATGACCTCTCTCCTTGCTTTCTATGATCTTGTATTCTGCTCTTTATTTTTACTTGGTTTCTCATGTAAGAGAAATCATGTGATATATTCAATATTTTTGAATCTTCCATTTCCGTTTTTTTTTTTTTTTTTTGGTGCAGGGTCTCACTGAGTTGAGGCTAACTTGAATTCATTATGTGGCCCAAGCTGGCCTCAAACTTTCAGTGGTACTCCTGTCTCAGCCTCCCAAGTGCTGGGATTACAGACTTGCAACATCATACCCGGCAATCTTCTGTTTTCTTTACCTGTATATTATGCACATTTGCTCTGCCTTTCAACCTATTTTCTAAAATGCTGAGTTAACTAAAAAGATGTAAATTCCTATGCTTACCTGAGAGCCATAATTAAAGTCATTTGTTCAAAGTTTGACTAGTCTCATCCAGGGCGTTGGGCCATTTTCTTGGCACATATGGAATACTGCAGAGTTGGGCAGCACCATAGGTAATAGAGGATCCTGGAGCAGGCTGCCTGGGCTGCTGCACCCCACCTCACTTCCTACTGCAGCTCAGCTCACCTTTCTTCTGCCCCAGGCTCCATCTAGGAAGCCTTAGCCAGATGCCTCCCACACCTTGGGTAGTTAGATCTTACCTAGGTAAAGTTTTGTATTTTTCATTGATTTGAAGTTTTGTTAATATGCTTTTAAAGAGACTATGAAAATATTTTATTTTTTTAAGCTCCTTCAACAGCCACCTCAATTCTGTTTTTGTCCAAAATGGAGTAAGAGTCACTCGAGTATATTGTTTATATTGATGGTGATATTGTGTGCCTATCTTAAAGAGAAGTTTAAAGGTGAAATATTAGCTCACCTGCACTTGAGAGCTTAATCAGTTAGCTTTTAGTTTGCCGAATGTTATTTGAAAGACAGTTGGTGCCAGGTAATTTTACCTTGTACTCTGATTACCTAAAATCTCTGTAAATAAGCACTCATTGTTTTAAAATGTTTGAGACCTGTTCTGTAGGTGCAAAGGAGAATGTCCTTTGTAGTGCTGTTATTTGCATTTACTTCAGACACTGAAGTAAGTCTTCTGTAGTGCTGTTCTTTGCATTTACCTAATGAGCTTATTGTTGGTGAGAGTAAAGGATCTTAGGGTCCTTAGTCCTCCAGGGTTTATTAGAAGAGAAGAGCTAGCTGCCTGTTGGCTTCTCTAGCTCCAGATATTGCCTGTCTTTTATTTTCTGGCCTGACATAAATCTTAAAATGCCCACATCCAAGTGCAGGTCTGCTTAGCCAGAGTAGTGAAGGTGTGTGCCAAGAAACGTTGCTTGGTACTGACTCTCATTGTGCTAGGCAGGGACAGGCCCTAAAGATGAGTCTGAGTTCCCAAGAGTGAGGACGAAGTGTGCAGCTCGTGCTAGGCAGGTACAGCCTCAATACTTAGTGCTGACGTACTGCAGCTGTGTGGAAAAAGTGTTTTCCGTGGAATTCAGTGTTTCGGCAAACACTTCTAATGAGGATTTTGACAAGATTTCTTAGTTATAGAAATACCTAATGGTCACCTATGTGAAGGTAACAGTTCAATTCTGCTGGTATTTTGTTTGTTTGGTTTTGGTACTGAGAATTGAACTCATGACCCTGAACTTGCCAGGCTTCTTCTGGTATTTTGAAGTGTTTTTTTTTTTTTTTTTTTTTTAATAGTAGGAACTAGTGATGCGTTAGAATTTTTACAAACTCTTTTAGGAGATGGATTCAATTGAAGATGTCTGGAGGAATTTTTTTGCAGCTCTGAATTTACAAAGCTCAGACTGAATATGTCAGAATTGGCATTTTTCATCACCATCCCCAAATCCCTAGTACGGCAGTCCAATATGACTCGGTTTGTCGCTCGTAGCTGCTCATGTTTGGTTGCTTGTTACTGCCTTATTCCATTTTTTCAGGCTACTGTGTATTTTTATTTGGTGTGTGTATAATTTTTTTTTCCTTTTCCTCTGTAGTTGTGAAAGATTTTCAAGACTATATCGAGCCAGAAGAAGGTTGTCAGGGTTCCCCACAGAGAAGAGGGCCTCTGAGTACAGGCTCCGATGAAGAAAACGTTGCCCTGCCTCTGGGTGACAATGTGCTGACTCATAACCTGGGGATCCCAGTGTTGGTGGTGTGCACAAAGGTGTGTCCAGGGAATTGTTGGCTGAGTTCGGCCAGTGAACAGTCACTGTCTGAAAGAAAGTTTGAGAAACTTCGGTGAATTTCTTCCCAAAGGAGAGTTGGGCTTATTCAGGATTCATTAAGATACATCAGATGTGTCAGGATAGAACATATTGTCATTTAACGTTGCTGCTGGAAGCATGACATCACTCAGTTCATGTGTGCTCTGGGTTAATCTCCAGGAAGCACTGAGTGTATGGGTATACTCAACTAAAAACAGCTTTCTTAAGGTGACATAAACTGGGTCATCTCGTCTAAACGTGGTGAAAAAGTAGAATGATGAGGTGGAAATAGAAATTAAATTCAGTTATAGGGAAATAAAGTGTGTCTCTTACATAAGAAAAACAGTTTTAAAAATGTTTCCAGTTTCCAAAGTACACAGACAGATGACTGTTTTGTCTCCCCTGCAGTGTGATGCAGTAAGCATCCTGGAGAAGGAGCATGATTACAGGGACGAGCACCTGGACTTCATCCAGTCGCACCTGCGGAGGTTCTGCCTCCAATGTATCCTTGGGGTGCTCTGTCAGGCCTGGTGGCGTGGGCTTCCCTCCAAATGGGTGATCTTCACGGGCATGCCTAAACTCAGAGTAGTCTTCTGCCTGTGTATATTGTTTTACTAATTTTATATTTTACTGTGTTGGAATTTGAAGCTATTTGACTTATGCCAATCTTTGGTTACTTTTTATTTTTAAGTGTACATTTGATAGGCTTTTATGTTAAGAAGCAGCTGAGGTCAGGTGTGGTACCCTCCTGTAATCCTACCACTCAGGGAGGCTGAGACAGGAGGATGGCAAGTTTGAGACTAGCCTTGGCAACTTAGTGACTGAAACTCTGTCTTAAAAAAAAAAAAATCAGTCTCCATACCCTATTTTCTCGCACGCATGCATGCACGCACACATGCACACAAGCACTCATGAAGGAGAAGCTGATGTGAGACCATTTTATTACCATATTATTTTTATCACGCTTGGAAATCTTTTTAAACTTTGCTTTTATTCAGAAAGGAGTAATTTGTAATCCAGTCGTAGGTGCTACTGGTGTGTCCCATGTGTTTGTTTTATGCTACTCATAAAAACCTATTGTGTCAGCAGTCTTTCTCTGAAAAACCAAAACCTTCTTCCCTTTAGAGTCAGGGTGTTGGATGCATTACTGCTGCCTCCTTTCTGCCCATTCCTGGAGTGTATGCTTTCCTTTTTTTTTTTTGGTCTTTTAGAGACAGGGTCTTGCTGTGCAGTTCAGGCTGGCCTTGAGCTCACTTTGTAGCCCAGGCTGGTCTCGAACTTCCAGTGATCCTCCTGAGTACTAGGATTACAGGCATGTGGCACCACACCCAGCTTGTGGAAATGCATGCTTAAGGATAAATTTGTTCATGCATAAGTGTCTGTCTACAGAGAAGTCTAAACCTCACTCTGCTGAGGATGTTTTCCCACACTCACCTGAGAGCCAGTAACTTTGCTTCTTTGGAAGCAGTCCAGGGGATCAAGATACCGGTTTATGTGTTAAGTCAACTACACAGCCTGCTGACATTAGCATACTTTATGCTTGTGACTTGGTTCATCTGCAACTGTTGCCTTTTTTGTTTTTAAAATTGTAATACTTTCTGATTGTCAAAAACTGATCAAATTGTCTGCAGTGCTTTAAGGGTTGTGCTTCTATAGGATTAATTTTGTCCCCTCCCACCGTGAATTGATTTTCCTTAGCAGATTGATTAGATGGAGCTGCCTTGATTTACACATCAGTGAAAGAAGAGAAAAACCTCGACTTGTTGTATAAGTACATTGTTCACAAAACATATGGATTCCACTTTACTACACCTGCCTTAGTTGTGGAAAAGGATGCAGTTTTTATGTGAGTTCTGGAGAGGTGATACTTTCAACCCCTTCTTTCTATAGCACACCTACTGCTTAACATTTTGTCCTTTCAAGTACCTTGCTTTCTGTCTGTGTCTTGTGCAGCCAGCTCTCTTGCTGCTGTGGCTAAAGTGTGTGGATTGGACCTCAGACTTTCCCTCTCTCTTCCTCCTGAATTACGAAGCATTCTGCTTGAGGGGAATGAGTGGTGTGGTCAGGGCTACTGTCTTTCCTCATTGAAAGCGAGTTGCCAAACAAACCATTTTTGGCCACTTGCTGTGAACTGGTGAGGTACTGGCTGGGGGAGAGAATTGAAGTATAGGGGATTTCACTTCAGGGATTGTATGTGTGGAGTCTTGTTTACTTTAGGGATTCTAAACATCTCCTGTTAGAGCATCTAGTTCCTCTGCCCAATAGTAAACATGCTCCTTCGCCCTGTCACAAGGTTTTGGCTGTTCTGCGTGCTTATTTTATTTCCAGAATTTCAGCATTTATTTCTAGCCACAGGGATTGATTGTCCTGCCAAGAGAGTTAGAAACCTGTATTCCTGAGTTTCTTTTTCTCACTAGAGAATCATGTTGCTGGATGCATAAATAAATGATGAAGCCGTAGTCACTGAGAACACTTGCATTAGCAAACTGATGTTCAGCCTTAGCTAGCCTCTTAGCTTAACAGTTGTATTTGTCTATTTAGCAAGCCATACTCTGCATCTCGTAGGTACCCAGGTTCTCTGCTGGGGCCACAGAAATGAATGAGGTGTGGTTCCTGCTACAGTGTTGAGAAAGAGAGACACAGCTGAAGAGGAGAAAGGCAGCAGTGGGCTAGTGCAGGAGGGGTGGCAGGGAGGGCAGAGGTGTGAGGCTGGGAGGTGCATGTATCCCAGACAGCCACAGAGGAGGTAGGTGCAGTCTGAGAGCCTGGAGGTGTGAGCCCCAGGTGGTGCAGGAACTGAATAGATTACTTGTAGCACACTCGAAGAGAGCTACCTTTGGGCTGCTGGCAGACCGCATAACTGCTTTTTGAGAAGCATCCTAAGCAATCAGCCACAAAAGGTACAAGCTTAGTGAGCAATGTGTTTTTGGAATTACTTTAGTGCCCAAATCACCTGATCCAAAGTGGGGAGGCTGGTTAGATTTGGGACTAGTCTGGAATAGAAAAGTATCTTGTGGCTGTTGAAGGCTGCTTGGGTCATGGCAGTATCTCAGTCCTGCCCTATCCCTTTGTACCTTTGGGACTATTGATAGTTGCTTATACGTGAACTGGTAAAGTTAGCAAGGTCATTTTGGGGTACCCTGGCTATACCTTCTTGATTGTAGACCTGTGGATCAGGATTTGGTGGGAGAATGAGAGTCTTGTGAGAACAATAGTTGCCATCTTTCAAAGCTTCTTGAGTTCAAAAGTGTGGCATGTAGGATACTCTGCAGTTGCTGCCTTTAGGAGAGTTGGCTGGGAATAATAGGCTGTGGCTTAGCCTAGTGGAAGCCAGGTCTTTTTGCCCTGTGATGTCAAAGTACACGGCCCCCATGTAGGAACCCTTGGGGTTTGGGCCCCAGGGTGGATGCAGGCCCTGTTTTCCCCTTGGCTCAAGAGTATATCTTTCTACACAAGCAAAATCAGTGAGCCAGTTCACAAGATAACTGTTAGAAGAGTTCTTAGAGACAGCCCATAAGAGGGGAGCCTCCATACCAAAGCCCGAGAGAAATAGTCTCCTCCTAGGCTCTGTCCTTTGCTGCTCTCTGCATTCTCTTATGATGAGTCAGGACCCCATTGTGCTGCTGTTGGCTTTGTGCAGTAGCTCTGACCACATCCACTGGCACAGCACGTGGTCCTAGCTCTTACACTGGCTCCTTAGACCTGGAGCTTATGAGCTCTGTACAAAGCAGGGCTTGCTCTGCTGATATGATGGGGTGTCCCTGCATGTGTCCAAAGCTGCCAGCCACCCAGATTTTGTGCAGGTGCAGACCAGATCTTGTGAAGAAGGACATCACCCAGAAATCCTTTCTAACCCAAAATGTGCTCTGAGTATTGCAGTAAGCAGTCTCAGGAAAAGAAAGCCAATACCTGTCTCTTTGCCTTTAGACCGGCAGGCTGGGACAATGAAAAGAAAATAGCTATTTTACATGAAAATTTTACAACTGTGAAACCAGAAGATGCATATGAAGATTTTATTGTGAAACCTCCTGTAAGAAAGGTATCCAAATCAATCACTTTAAAGAGTCCAGGTGCTTTTTTAAAATGAGGAGCAGAGGGGGGACCTGTGAAGAAACATCTTACATTATATCATTTTGAAAAAAGTAAATAACCCAAGGATCATTTTGTTAGTCTTTAAATGGGGCCTTGTGTTACATAAATGGCTCAGGGTGGGGTGTGATGGTGTGCCCACGTGGAGCTGGGTGGCATTTCCCTTGAAGTCCTAACAGTGCTGCTGCCATCTCTAGATTACTGTTGTTAGATTCTCTCTCCTGAGAGCTATTGAAGCTTCTAATCAGGAGATGTTTAGGACCTGTGAGACTTAAAAATACCAGTTGGCTACCTGCCACAGCCAGTTTTGGGAGAAGATCTGTGCCTTACTGGAAAAACTTTAATGGCCATCTCTGGAAGGATCCCTCAGACACATACAGAGGGCTGAGGGCCAGGGATATATAGCTCAATGGCACAAGCGCCTGCCTGGCAAGCACAAGATCCTGAGTTCGATTCCTGGTACCAAAGAAAGTAGGCTGAGCACAAGATTCTTCTTGCAGCTTGAATTTTGACAGTCACTTGGGAGGGGTTTGGGCCTGTGGCCACAAATATGTATATTGCTTTACAGCTGGTCCATGACAAAGAGTTGGCAGCAGAGGATGAACAGGTATTCCTAATGAAGCAGCAGGTAAGAAGATACTGACATTTAATTGAGGCCTTTTCATGCATGGAGTGCCAATTTCCTAGGAGGGTAGGGGCTACCTGAATATGGCAATCACAGTGGGCTGAGCATCAGGGGTTGAGACTAGGGCTCCCAGCTCCTTCCTCTTTCTGGGATTGGCAGGGGTTGGACCACCTGCCTTAGAATGTCTGCCTGCCATTGCGTTGCACATTCTTCCACAGGGCTAGTGGTGAACCTATGGGACACATGCTATAGCAGGCTGTTAGTATCATTGAAAGTTCTAGAAGGTTTGCCATCACTAGTATCTGTTTAAGTGCCTTTTCTATGAAAAGTTAGATTTTCTGCCATACTTCCTGAGTTACTGAGTTTTATCAAGTGACCTGGCCTTACTTCCTTTATTTCACATGGTCCCCCACAACCTGGTGCACAGAGATAAGTAGTGCCCACTTTATAGGTGAGGCAGTAACTTTTTCAAGCTGACAGTGTAAAAATACGAACTGAGTCTAATAATTGGTCTTTCATTCAGATTTTTTTTTTTCACCCAGATTATTGTTAGATATTTCATAAGTCTCCTTGAGGGTACAGGCAGGTCCCAGCAGGTTTTGACAGTTCTTTTTCCAACTCTTCCAACTTTCTGTGCCCTGCTTCCTTCCTTATCTTCAAATGGTTACCAGAATCACTTTTTCACCATGTACCAAACTGCTCTGTAACAATGTATTTTTTGACTTAGTAGCTGTTAAATGGCACCCTCTAGTGGAATACTAGGAGTTAAGTTTTTGACCTCAGTGCACTTCGCAGGCCTTGGCTAATGGCCAGTTTATCCCTCTCTTTGCAGTCACTCCTAGCCAAGCAGCCGGCCACACCCACAAGAGCTTCTGTGAGTACCTCATACCAAACACTCATGGCCTGATATTGGGGGTGTCTTTCTTTCTTCCTCTTTTTTCATCCGTGTCTGTCTGTTTGTCTCTCTGTCTTTTCTTTTGTCTTTTTGAGACAGGGTCTTGCTATGCAGTTCAGGCTGGCCTTGAACTCACTTTGTAGATCTTGAACTTGCAAAGATGCTCCTGCCTCAGCCTCCTGAGTGCTGGGATTATAGACGTGTGCCACCATGCCTAGCTGTGGGTGTCTTTAGAACTTATACTGTTATTTGTGAGAACATATGTTTGTGTGGGCTTTTGTGTTCTCTAAGAGGGTTTGGTCTCCCTAAAGGCCAATAGCCAGAATCTCAGGAAATGTTTGGTAAAACACAGCATTCATGAATCAGAATGAGCTGGCTTTATTACCTTGTTACATTTTCTCTTAGGAGAAATTGAGGTCTGGAAACAGACTAACCTGGGAGCAAACTCCTAGTTCTCTAACCCGGACTGGAAAATATCCTGCAAAAGCATGTCTTCATTTTTGGAATTTGTATTTTCTACTACTGTACTTTTATGCTTGTGTGTGACCTGGACTGTTTTTAAAATTAGGAATCCCCTGCAAGAGGACCCTCTGGCTCTCCAAGGACCCAGGGCCGGGGAGGGCCAGCCAGTGTGCCTAGCGCTTCCCCCGGCACGTCTGTAAAGAAACCAGACCCAAACATCAAAAGTATGTATCCTGTCTTTGGAGAGTGGTTTTGTCCTAGGTCTGAGCCCTGCAGGGATGGTTGAGTCTCAAGTGGAACCGAGGAAAGCTGAGGCCTGTGCTTTTCCCTGAGAAGGGCTGCTTTCTACTTTCTTCCTCCCAAAGGGTGGGGCTGTGGAGGCAAGGTCCTGTTCCTTTGTCAGAAGCAGTAGTCTAGCCACCTAGCTTTTTTTTTTTTTTTTTTTTGTACTGGAAACTGAACTCAGGACCTTATACTTGCCAGTCAGGCACTTGTGCTGCTGAGCTATCTCCCTGGCCCTCACCTAGCATTTTTTGGAAGGGAATGCAAAATAGGAAATGATTTTTAGAATACATACTTTGAATTCTAGTGTTATTTCTCATTATCTTATTACTATTTTGAATTTGTGGAATTTTTTTTCTCCTTTACTGTGTTTGTCAATCTGAATTACTAGTTGAAGCAGCTGTCATCTCAGTGGCTTGATACCGGAAGATATTGGCTGCAATAAAGCCATCAAACAGAATTAAGCCATCAAACTTGTATGTTTGATGAACATCTTCTGCTTAGGATATCAGCCGTTCCCAGCAGACGGGGAGTGCTGAGGGCTTAAGAAACTTTGATGAATAAAAAAGGACATCTCCTTGATACTGGCAGATAATGTGGAGCACAAGTTAATCTTTATACCCTCAAACAGATGGGAAATGTAAGCACATTTCCACTTAGTAATTATGCTAACACATAATTAGCCTTAACAATGGTGATATGTAAAGAATGTAGTACATGAATGGGATCAGTATTCTAGGAAGGTGATAGCTATAGATGTGTAATTCTAAGGTGAGAACTACTTTTTTTGTTTTAATTCATTCAGTTTGTATAATGCTCTTTTTTCTGTTTCCTTAGATAATGCAGCAAGTGAAGGGGTGTTGGCCAGCTTCTTCAATAGTCTTTTGAGTAAAAAAACAGGTTCTCCTGGAAGTCCTGGTGCTGGTGGTGTGCAGAACACAGCTAAGAAGTCAGGTACAGAGGGGCCTTCTGAGGCTTTTGATCCTTGTCGCTGAGCAGTGCTGGAAGGATGGGAAGGCAGACAGGAATGTGCCTTTACCTGACCTTCAGATCCTCAGTCGTATTCTGAACAATTATGCACAGAAATAGATCTGTACTTTACACTGAGCAGGTTGCTGTGCTTTTGGTGGGGTTGTCTCATTACCATGCAGCTTTCTGTGATACATGTAACATGTTCCCAGTGACTTGTACCACCTGATGGGACTCTGGCATGCTGCCTGATGGGACAGTCATGCATGTACCACCAGTGGTTCAGCGCTGCCCAGTAGCAAGACATACAACTTAACACTCCCATTGTGAATGTGTTAAATTTGGGTTTACATACATTCAAGCTGTTGGGTGAGTTGAGGTATAGTCTAAACTATACATGTGAACTTGGGTGTAGGTGTCTCTGCTAGAGGCCATAGTTAAGCATGCGTGTCCAATTTATAGCCCACCTTTACTGCCCTTATATTTTTAAACGTTGTGAATAAAAAATATTTTTAAAAAGGAAGTTTAATTGCTTATATACATTAACTATATTATATATTTTATATATGGCCCAAGAAAATTCCTCTTGATTCAAAAAAATGAGACCACAGGAAAGATGGGCTGCAGGTTGAACATGCTGGTGTATTATTGGCATTTTGTTTGTTCTTTTAATTTTCTGTGATGCTTTAAAAATTTTTTTGCTCATTTCACTGCCATGTGGTCTTACTGTGAGCTGAAGCCTGTGACTGAATCCTCATTGTCTCACTTAGGGGGTCCTTGTCTCTTCCTCTATGAACTCTTGGTGGCCCATCCACCTGACCTTGCGTGTAGGCTGGTATGGGGCAATCTGTCTTGGAGATCTCTGAAACAAAAGAACCAAGTTCCTTGGGAATTACATAAATTCTCAGGAAGCTGGAAGATTTGTTTTGATTTGATTTGATTTTATAATGCTAGGAGTCAGATCCAGGGTCTCACTCGTGCTAGACAAGAAGTGATGAACATTTTAAAAGGTTCTTCTGTTTTTAATTTTTCATGGTTATAAGGTATTTTAGTACAGTGTTTTTCCTGACAGATATTTCTAAAGCAGAGGAGACCCTTAGGAGATCATTGTATCCTTAGGGAATTCTGCCCTCCAGACAGTCTGGTCTGGTGGTGTCGGCTATGGGCTAATACTATTCCTTTACCAGAGATAGGGGTTATTTTTCAAATCCTGGTGAGTGTCTGACAGTAGAAACATATGAGCACCAACTGCAGGACTTACCATCTGAACTTTCTGGCGTTGGTCTTGTCTTCTTATTGAAACCTGGTATTTCCAGGCTGTCCTTGAAAGACAGTCTAGACTAGAGTGTTGTAATTAGGAACAAAACCTGATTACTTGTCTGAGACAAAGAAAGAACTTGGCTGCATGACTGAAACTGCAGTGCCCACTTCTAACAAGATGGCAGAGTGCACAGGGGTGAGGATTAGAGGATGAGAGGGGTTTTGAAAAAGGCCTCTTTGTTTGCCACAAAGGCATTGCCTGCCAAGGGCAGCCATATAGCTGGGGAAGCGTAGACCTGTGACATGGGGAATAATGAAGGCTTAAGGTCTGTCTTATGACCCTTGGGACAAAGTGTTACTATCATCACAGAGTCACCACAAATGTTTACAGAAGTCTATATAATTTTAAATGTTTCATTTTAAAAATTATTTTCTGTTTTCACATTGCTGCTTTGCTTTTTCTTCCCCTTTGTTAAGGACAAAAGACTGTGTTGTCAAATGTTCAGGAAGAACTGGATAGAATGACTCGAAAACCAGACTCCATGGTAACAAACTCTTCAACAGAAAATGAAGCCTGATCTTCCTTAAAATGCACATATCAAATGACCAAATAACTATGTATATTGATCTGCTAAGACCAGGATTTTTCTGATATGGCACATGCTATTGGTTTTTTGGGGTAGGGGAGATGAACTTTTAAAAAAAAAACTTCATTGGCTTGTCCCAAGTGTGAAGTGCACATTTAGGAAGGTTATGTGTCAGAACCCTTGTTAAGGATAACCCTTGGACTCTTCAGGCATGTAGCTGTCGTGTGGGAAGAGCACAGCTGGGCTTGTAGAACAGAGAAAGGGAGCCCACTTTCCATCAGGGCGGAGCAGACCAGACCAGGAAATCATTGATCAGATGGTGGTTCGTCTGACCAGTTGTGTATTAGCAAATTCACTTGTTCTTGGGAAGCAGATTAAATAGCAGGAAGTCCAGGGAAGAAAGACTGAAAGAAGAATGAGAAAAGTGATGGTGGGAAGCTGGACGTTGAGGGAGGTGAAGGAGGAGAATAAGCAGTGTTAGCAAATACTGAGCTCAGTAGAGTCAAATAAACATTGTTTAAGACTTAAAATTAGAAGCATTTCCAAGCTAAACACTAAGCAAAATGGGAATTAGACTTGTCCTAAAGGCATCTTTTTAACTTAAGGAAGATGTGTTAAATGTGGGGTGCCTGAGTCAGGTGGGGCTGACACAGGGGTGGGGAAGATGGCAGCTGCCCAGTACCCACATGCTTGGCCCAGGCCGTGTGCCTGTGGAGATCCTGGGCTCCATGCATGTGTATTATGAGGCAGGCAGTCACTGTGGGCTGTGTTCAAAGTCAGCAGATACAATATTAGTTTACTTTGAATTATGTTTTCTAAATAGCTCCTGCTTTGTTTTTTAAATTAAATTTTTTGTTTTTTGTTTTTTGTTTTGTTTTTTTACGACCGCAGGCTAGCCTACTAATAGGAAATGGTGATCAACCTCTCATTTAACCATAATGCAATGTGTTACAGAAAGTTTAGAGGAGGTTGTCAGTGTCATTGTACTCTGGTTAATTATCTTGCACCAATCCCTGCCTTATAGTCTGTGGAAACCTTCACAGAGTTCCACTCATGTAAAAGGATCTTGTCCTAGTACCCTGGGCTGATCAGTGTATCAGATGGACAATAAGTGTGAATGTTTTATATTGAAAAATGAAACATTTATTTTGTGTTTTTCATAAAATGTAGCTTTTTTTTCTTACGGAAGTGAAAGTTTCAGCTGTCTCCCCATTTAGGGCAAATTTATCCACATTGTCCTGTCATACCACCATTCTGGAAATGATTTCTGTGGATTTGAAATGGCACTTTGGATTTTATATATGACACAGCATTTAAATGCAAACACTAATCTGAATTTCATGTATAAAACATTTGTTTTCAAACCAAGGGAAAACCACAGTTCACTTAAGTGGAGTTTACTTTTTTTTATGAATGTTTGTTGTACTGTGTCTCAGCCTAACTTCCCTAATGTTATTACTTTTACAGACCAGATTTGACTGACCACTAACATAATACTCGGCATAATTTATATCCTGTGTTATATAACAAAACTCTTCAGACTATCTTGAATTGCTTTTATAAGGTCTGAACACTGTTAAGGAGAAAGTTGTGTATTTACTTGCCTTTTTGACAAAAAGACGTTTATTGTGCCAGGTTTATTGGTGAAATACACTGTTTTTTCCCTTTTTTTAATTGTTTTTTTTTTTTTTTTAAAGTATTGTGGCTTCCAATTACCAGGTTGTCTAGGTGATGACAGTAAACTGACTGTGGAGCAATAGTTGTGTAGTGATGAGTAGATGCCAGACAGTTTATGGCCACACAAAAGGTGGGGTCACTTAATCTTTCTAGCAGCTGGGGGCAGAATGAGTGATCACAGAAACAAGAAGGAATTTTTGGAAAGGCACATGTCTAAGAGGGAAACAGTATGATTTTAAATTCGAATGCAAAATTTAAATTTGTATCATTTGAACTGAGAAGCACTTTTTGGGTCATTGTAAAACGTACTACAACCGACAAAATGCTAAGATGCCGGTTTTTTGAAGGAAGGTTTTTTGGAGACCACTTTTATTCTCATGACAAGTGGACACTTCTGGTATCAGAAGAAACTGATGCATGGTGTCATGTGCTCAGTGGTTGCCAAAGTCTACCAACTTTGGGGAGCTTCAGGGTTCTTTTGGGGGAGTGGGAGGGAGATGATTTTTATTATTTTAGGGTTTTCAGGCATTGGAACCAAAGGCCAAGTAATAAGCAGCCTTTACTTTTTAAAATAAAATTCATTTTATTTGCTGAATACACTTGTATGGTAGATGGTTAATTTATATACTTATAGTGGTTATATCTGCTGTTTGTCTTTAAAATTTAAAAAACAGACCCAACCTAGAAGATATGGCCCAGACAAAGGCCATGGATTGGTCTTTCCTAAAAATGCAACAGTTATGCTGCTAGATTATTTTATTTTGTTTGCACTTTCTTTTTTGGGGATTGGCATTTTAAAATCACTATTTAAACTGAAGAAATTGTTGTGTTTTATTTAACGAAGTTGAAAATGACTGCTCTGTACATCATGACCTTAACAATGTTGATGCTGTAAGTGAAAGTTCACTGTCGTCTCTATGCTAAGTTCATTGGTGTTCTTAATTTAAAATTAGGACTGCAGATTATCCCCAACCAGCCTTAGTCCAGGGTGTGGCTCTATCCAGGTGCGGTATGCAGTCATGTGGAACCTTGCTTTCTAGCAGTGGAAAAAAAAGATGTCTCTAATTACTGGCTTCAATAAACACGAATCCAGACTGCTTACAATTCTGGGTGACTTTCTTTTTTGATAAATCATCCCACTGAAGATCCGTTGTCTGCTACTATGGGGTATCTGACCATATAGTTAAAAATATGTTGTCCCTTAAAATTATCAGAACTTCTAATAAGGGGAAGAACATTTTAAACCCAAACATTGAAGGTTGAGAAAGTCAGAGTTGTGTGTAGAGTGCAGCAGGGTGTGGGAGTTGTCCAGCATGTTCTCTTGTTTCTTGAATAAATGTTTCATTGTCTGAATTGAGCTAAGTGATTTTCCCTTGGCTTATTTAGAAGAATTGAGAAGTTACAGAGAAATTTCAGAGCAGCTACTGTATACCGTAATGCTTTTCATTTACTTAAAATGGGGCACAGTAAAATCTGTTCAAGAGAAATTGAAGATTGCATTTCTTGCTGTTGGACTCAAATTTTCTCAACTTTTTAATGTGAAAAACTGCAAAGCTGTAGAAAACTTGAAAAGTTATATTGGGCATCCATATTTCACAAAGATTCACTTTTTAAGTGTCTTTTGGCTTTCAAGCAATCTGTGAGGTGATTTGGGGATTATTTCATTTGATGAAACTAGTGGTAATGTAATAGCAAATACCTGTATTAGATATTGCTGCATATCAGTCACTCTTCTAGATGTTTCATGCAAATTGATTTATATTCACAACAACTCTCTGAGGCAAGCATCGCTTTCATCTTAGTTTCCAGACAGGCACACAAAGACAGGTACAGGCTAAGTAGCTACTAAGGTCAAAGTCAATTTGAGCCCCAGAAGTCTAGCTGAGTTTGGGTCATTGCTGTACTCTGCTGGCACTTGTGTTTACACAGACCAGATGGCAAAGGCACTAATTGAAAGTGCTTTTTTATCTGTGGTCCTCCACAGCTATGTGCTGCTGTTCTACCTCTTGCCCTTGCTATCATGGATACAGGAGCCACTCTTGTTAGATGGACAAAAACAGCAAATGGAGAATGTGTCCAGTGCACTGTGCAAAGGGGATGGGGGCCGTAGTCGTAGTATCTTTTGGGGTTGAGGTGCCTGCCACTCTTTATATAGAAAAGACTTCTTAGGCACAAAGAGCTTTAGGGCTCATCTGTGGCAAGGGCCCATGTTAGGCTCCAAGACAGTTCTTCACCAGTGGAGATGTCCATAAATGCATATGAGGCTCCATGGAGGGCAGGCCTGCTGGCTCACCTGCTTAGGGGCCCTCACACACACAGTTCACGCACTGGATTCTGTCCTGGGAGGGCATGAGCTGTAATGCGTTCCAGTCTACAGTTCTAGTGCATTATCTCCTTACTTTCAAGTCAAGCAGGCACAATTTAGACAGACTAAGAAATTGAGCAAGAAATAAGACAACCCAAATTGGGAGGCTTCATCCTTCTTGGGCCTCCTTTCTCTATCTTTGTAAAATGGGAATGAATTTCTTCCTAGACATGAACATTAGAGGGTATATGGTAGGTGTTTGGTGTAATTGTTAGCTGAGCTGTATGTCTGGCATATATTGTAGGTGTTCAGTGTAATTGTTGATCCTAATCACACTTGCTGATTAACACTGATTGTATTTTAAATACTTCATCTCTAAGGAATACAAGTTAGAGGGATGGGTATGCTGTCACCGTTCATTCACCATGATGATTCCTGGTAGTTTCTACAGGAGGCCACAACTGAGGTCTGGATTCTGGAAGCAGGACATGGTATGTGGTATTGCATTCGTTATCCTGCAAGACCTGCAGACAGCTAACGATACAAAGTGCTGTCTTGATGCTGTCTGTGACTGCTTGATGAGGCACAGATGGTATGTCCCGACTGGGGTACAGATGACACGCCAGGAGCAGTGGGGCTGAAAAAAGGAAAAAGCTAAAACTCCCACCCTGATAAACAGTGCACCATGCTGGCTTACAGTTAGCAGAGCCTCCAGTGTCTCTGGGCACTGATGTTGAGGAAATCTCAGGGACTGTAAGGAAAAAGACAGAAGTTTTTGCTGAGACAGAGGTTTGCAAGGCCACGATGGTTGGGGATGGGAATCCAGAGCAGTGGGCACTGGAGCTGTGTAGTTCTCCCCAACCCCTGGGTGGTATTTCAGACAGGAGACACCTGATCTAACAGGTGTCTCTAATCTTGGTAGGGAATTCATGTGGAGCCCTGTACTTAAAATTCCAGTTCCTTGGGAGGCTGAAGCAGGAGGATCTCAAGTTTTGAGGTCAACATAGTTAAAAAGACTGTCCCACAAAGGAAAGGGCTGGCAATGTAGCTCAGTGGTAGAGTGCTTGCCTAGCATGCACATACCCCTGGGTTTGATCCTTAGTGCTGAAAAAAATTTTGAAAGGAAATTGCTATGTGAGTAGAGTTGCACTTTTTTGCAGTAACGTTAACATTTAACTTTGCATACCATCTTGATTGTTATCACTTAATTGAAGATAAGTGGCAACAACAGTGAGATAGTTTCGTATGTGTTTTTCTGTGACATAGAACGTGTTTTTCACAGTGCTGAATTAACATTCTTAAGTGATCATCAGTCTTCTGTATCTCGCCCCCTGGCCTCCCCGCAAGCCCACTCACCCCTTCACCATCTCTAAAGAACTAAAGTTCTACTAGAAAAGGCCAACACATGTGAAGCATTTAAGTTTTTGTTTTGGGAAGAATGCAGCAGTGTAAAACTATGTTCCTTTTTAAGGCTATACTTTAAAGAGTTGGGGGATGTTGGTATATCACCAGCCTGTGTCAGTTACATCTGTCCTTGATAGAGTACTTAGCACTATTCAGCAGTGCCTCCATCTCTGACCTCTTCAGACGTGTAACAGATGCTAGCCTGGAATTAATCGTGGATGTATATAGGAAACTAAACACTGTAATTGTTTCAGAGGTTCCACTTAATGGCAAGTAGTTTTGTACCCTGAGGGATGCATGGTCTCCAGCAGGTCTAGAGAGGCTAACAAACCACAAGGTCTGTTTGCGATTGTTGTGTTGCAGACCCTGCCCCTAATGGGCTGCCTTGTTCTTAAAAGTCTTTGGCCCGTTTCTAAAAGCCTAAGTCTAGGTGTCCCAAAGTGTGTTCTGGAAGATACTGTCTAGTAGGTGATGAAGCAGGTTTAGAAGACTTAGAAGACTCAGGTTTAGAAGACTCCATAACATTAAAAAGGTTTTTGTTTTGATTTGCCAGCTTTGTGGACATCCTCCAGGTCCCACAAAATGCCTTTGACAATGTTCATGTGCAGGGTGCTGAGCCTCCGTTAAGGTGTGTGTTTCTATGAACCTTGGAATTTGGACTTTGGTGATAGTATCTTGTGGCCTATTTCCTGTCTCCTACCCCTCATTGCTATTGCCTTAAAGAAGACACCCATCTGTAAAGTGGCGAGTTTGCTGTTCGTTGTAACTAGGACACCCGTGGGCGTTTTCAGCCTCTGAGAGTAGGTTTCTCCATGATGCTGACTAGTAGCACTCTCCTAGGCACAAAGACAAGGAAACGTTTCCCTGCATTTGGTACCAGGACTGGCTTGGTTTTTTTTGTTTGTTTGGGTTAGGTTGGGTTTTTTGTGTTTTGGTTTGCTTTGTTTTGTTTTGTTTTTTGTCTTTTTGAGACAGGGTCTCACTATGCAGTTCAGGCTGGCCTTGAACTCACTTTGTAGCCCAGGCTGGTCTCGAACTCGAAAAGATCCTCCTGGCTCAGCCTCCTGAGTGCTGGAATTACAGGCATGCACCACTACTCCCAGCCCTTTGTTTTGTTTTTAAGAGTCTTGTTATATAGTTCAGACTGGCCTTGAACTCATTATGTAGCCTAGGCTGGCCTCAAACTCATAGCAATCTTGCTTCTGCCTTCCAAGTGCTAGGATTACAGGCATATGCCACCACACCTGGCAGTCCAGGTCCTCCTTGGAATCATCACTGAACACTCAGTCCTCCACTTTGTCAGATGGTTCTCCCTGCAATTAAATTTGTAAGTATTTGGCACTCAGCTACTCTGATATGACATAAAAAGAAATCTAGATCACAGCCAGGGCTGTCTCACCTAGGAACCTGGAGTCAAGTAGACTTGGGTTGTATGATGGTAGAAAAGTCCCTTAACTCCTCTGGATGTCCGTGATCTCCTCTAAAGTGGCAAGAAGACTCTCACCTACTTCCAGGGAGTCTGGGTGCCCTGGCTGAGATGACATGTAACAGATGCTAGCCAGGAATTAAACCCAGATGGGTTTAATTAGTACCGTGCTTAGCACAGTACCTCACGTGCAGACAGTGTCCAGAAACAGAACCAGCCCTGAACTAATTCTGTGATTGACAAACCTTGGGTCATGAAAGGGCCTTAGGAATCGCTGCCTTAGAGATGGGGAAGTTGGGCCATGGAGGGAACTTAATGCCAGTGTTACACAGAAAGAAGCAGAACAGGGTATTAGAATCCCTGTGTCGCTGCTGCTGCCTTCCTCTCCCAGTCTGTATACTTTTCTCCAAACCAGGCAGTGCTAAAGACCAGGTCTTAAATCTGAAGAAAAAAACTGCTAGTTTAGACTATGCAAGAAAGCTATTTTAGGGCAGACCATCTCCCAGCACACCATGAATTCCATCACCTGGGCAACTGCCTGCTTTCTTGGGCCAGGCAGTTCTCTGCCATCTGCATGTGTGGGCATCCAGCTATATGGTTGAGAAATGTGACCACCTGGGGCCTCCTCCGTGCCTCTTCTGGGAAGCAGTAGTCACTTTCCAAGGAGCTGTGGGCATAGGTTAGGGGTGCTGAAGATGCTGGGGATGGGGATGGGGAACGAGGTGGGCCTGGCCCTTCCTGTGCTGGTAGTGTGCTGGGAAAGAAAAGCAAGTCATGTGATAATCTCAATACCACACTCTGCTTCTCCCCATTTCAAGGCCAAAACTTCTGTAGGGTCACTCTTGCCCCAACAACTTGTCCCTAAAGCTTTTAGGTGGGTAAGGCATGGTAGGTGTCTGTGCCTGAGGTAGAGAGGGAAGCTGTAGAAAGCCAGAGTGGGATTTGGGACTTGAACATAGTGAAGGAAGG